CTTCACTTCCTCCAGCCCCAGCACCCATCAATCTAGTTTCTACCTCCATGGATTTGCCTACTTTGGGTATTTTACACGAACAGATTCAGTCCGCAGCTTTTCTTCTTTCACTTAGCATAACGTTTATAAGATGCATCCACATTGTAGCAGTATCAATAATTTGTTCCTTTTATGACTGAATAATATTCCCCTGTATACATTTGGGTTGTTTTCACTTTTTGGCTGTTACGAATAATGCTGTATGAACATCTGTGTGCAGGCTTCTGTATAAATGTATATTTTAAACTCTGTTTGGCATATATCTAACATTGACATTGTAAGGGCCAGCCAAATAGCTCAGTGGATTCAAGCGCCTGCAAACAGGCACAGGGGCTGGGGGTTTGATCCCCAGGTCTGCCCTGCTGGCCCTGCTCTCGGGGTGCACTGAGATGGCAATTGAGACTGGGTGTGGTGGTGTGCGCCTGTAATCCCAGCTCTTGGGAGGCTGTAAACAGGCGGATCACTACGAGTCCAATCTAGTAGGGAGACCCTGAACACCCTCCCTAAAATACAATAAATAAATAAATAAATGAATAAATGAATAGATAAAATAAAATTGCACTGTAGGGCATAGCTTTATATTTAAATTTTTGAGGGACTGCCAAAGGTTCCCAAAGCAGCTGCACCATTTCACGTTCCCATCTACAGTGGAGGAGTTCAAGTTCCTCCGTATCCTCGACAGCACTGAGTATTGTCTTCTTTCTTAGGAGTATCCCGGTTGGTATAAAGTGGCTTTGAGTTGCATTTCCTTAATGGCTAATGGCACTGAGTATGTTTTTATGTCCAATTAGCTATTTCTGTTTCTTCTTTGAATTAGTAATTCAAATCTTTTGTTCATTTAAAATTTGGGTTGTCTTTTTAATTTTTTATTATTTTTTATTCATTTGGGTTTTTTGGATACAATGTCTTGATATGAAATTCGGACGCGTAGTGATCCTCTTGTCTCAGCCTCGCCAGCACTGGGACTACAAGCGGATGCCACCACATCTGGTTCCAGGGCTGGCAAATTTGGGACCTTGTGCTTACCAGGCAGGCGCTTATGCCGCTGAGCCACCTCCTCAACCCTATTTGTCTTTTTATTGCTGTTATGAGAATATTTTACACATTCTGTATATTACAGCCTTATCAGATACATGATCAGTATATATTTTCCCTTAAATGGAGATTATTTTCATTTTCTTTGAAGCACATTTCTTTTATTCCAATGACTTCCAATCTATCTTGGATGTGGATATCCACTTATTCCTTTATCATTGTCATTGTCGTCATCTTCGTCGTCTTCGTCTTCTTCTTC